ATATATACATAAAACGGCATAAAAGTATAGTACAGTATAGTATGGTAGTAAATTTGTTTTTTAAATGATAACTTCGTGTGTATTTACTTTTCCATTTTCCATCCAATGCGGCAAGTTATGCAATGCGTGCATGACGTCAAGACGCAGCATCGACGCAGAGAGCGTTCGCGTTCCCTTACCAATTAAAGGTCAAGACGTAATTATCATAATTTGTAAAGCTTAGGCGCCGGGTGCGTTGCAATGGGTATCCATCTAACCGCCAAAATTTAAACATTTGTTCCTTGGCCCATTTGTGAACTATCCTGAAATCCGTCAATATCCGCCCATAACGTTTTGCATAATGTTTCGAACAGACAAACAAACAAGCTGAAGGGGTCGAAAGCAAAATACCCTTGTCTGGGGTTATAACTCATAAGTCCTTATAAGACTTAAGTCCAAACACGAGGATTACAAAACAATTTCCAGGCAAACTTTGTTTACGTTTTCATCGATAAATACGGGGTCAACTTCTGTTTTTGTGGTTACGTGCTACCGTCCTCTGTGTCTCCGCTGTCCTTTTCCACCAGAAACTGCTGCCTGTTGTCGATTGCACTTTGCAGTGTTGATGCTGTTTCAACCACACACCTTTATGCCACAGTTTGAGATTCAGAGTGCAACTTCGACAGACTGTTAATGATTTCACTTCTTACTTCGTATCAATCAAATGGCTCATTACAGAATGATGACAGTAATATCATATGAATTTTAACGTGAAGCGTTCTTTTCATTGTTATAGTACCACATAGAACGTTTAATAGCTATAGAACATTTGTAACCGTGGAATGATGAAGTGAACCGTGAAATACAATTTTAATATAAGTATACAAAGGAAAAACTGTAGATCAAATTGTTAATTATTCATCCTCCCACAAAGAGATTTTGTGGGAGGAAAATTTTTTGCTTCCATTTTAAAATATTTTGTAATTTGAATTTTGACATGGAAAAATAGGAATAATAGACATGTTCCTATTCGTTATCCAACACAGAGCCGTATATTTAACGCAAATGTATCTTGACAGCATTCAGTGTTTCATTTCCTACAATTGGCTTCTCGAACTCTAAAGACTAACCCCACTGACAGTCTAGGAGGAAAATGGTGTGAATGAATGATTTAGTTAATTGTGGTGATTTACGATCATGGCTCATTTATATTTGACTCTAGGGGTCACGTCAACATGTTCTCATACGCTCATACGCTCAACCACACGGTCTATATACGTATTTGCCAATACGCGTACAGCTAGATACGTATTCTCATTACAGGGGCGGATCCAGGATTATTTGAAGTGGGGGTCGGCGGATGTAAAGCCGATCCTTCCCCCCTTGACGTGGGGTTCGGGGCCCGATGAAGGACCCCTAAAAAGTTTGGTATTTTAGAGGGCGAACGGTGCCATTTGATAAGATTTTGAACTATGCATGATTAAGCTAGTCAAAATTCTAATGTCAAGAGTGGACCATTTGTGTGATTTTTTTTTTCAGCAATCGAAGGGGGGGGGGGGTTAGGAATCCCCTGACACCCCCTAAAGTCGCATGTGATGTCCATGCCAGGCGTCGGTACACGTATCAATCATTTGGACCTTTCCAAATGTCTGAAGTTCCCGGGTAGATTCCACTTCGTATAAATACGAACTGTACCTAATGCAATCCCTGTGCAAATGTTAACTTCTCAAAGATAAATAAATCACTTATTTTTGAGATTCAGCTCCAACAACGAATCTTTCGTAACCATTTCAAACCATCATTTATTCTGTTTGTTCATTAGGTAAAGGGGAATTTCTCATTCGCCAGGGACATGGGTAATCTGGAATGCAGCCTGATATATTGGTCGATCATCTGCACAATGTGGTCACTTTTGGACACTTGATTTTCAATAAGAGCAACTTTCCATGTCAACAAATTATATAGTACTAGACATAAATAAAACCCTCAGTCAAATATTCAAAACAATAATGCATACCCAGCGAGCATTTAATATTTTGGTTCCTATTTGGTTATCTTATGACATTGGCCTTACCCAGTGGTTGGGTACTACACATATAATATATTAAAATATATTATATATTTTAATGTTTGTGGGAATGTGCAAAACTGTTCACCAAACTAAATAACTCTCACCTTGAGATAACCTTCGTGAAATCTCAGTTTTGAACATAATATAAGTTTTAAATAACTGTTGCACTTTTGCAGCATATGTATTCCTGGAAAGAGGACACAATTGACCCACATCAAACCGACGTGTAGGTTCCAAGGCAGAAACACGCTTTATATTTTTAAAGGAGAAAAACGAAGCACTCCTTATTATCTGACCAGCCACGAGCAATGTTTTTTCGAAGTTGGAACCTTTCAACGGGCATTTGAAACCGTAAAACAAATAGCTTTAATTTCCGTGCAGAAGCCACTAAAGTATACCGCAGTACGTAAGATTGTGTCTTGTGCTTTATTTGTGGAGAACAATTCTGGGATTTAGGATACGAAGAAAGTGCAGGAATGTTTTTTTTTATAACAGGAAAAAAAAAAACAATGTCTGTTAACAGAATTTTCTTTTGATAGAAAGTAGTTAGTTCGAAACACATATTCTGTTCACAGCACCACAGCAGAACAGAAGCCACGTGTTTGATTAAATGTGTTCGTGTGTTTGCCGTTTGGAAAAAAAAAAAAAAAAAAAAAAAAACAAACAAACCATCAAAACATACGATGATCAAATTGGTTCCCCGGTCTAATCTTTCAAACATCCTAACATTTTTCAGGTCCAATGCACATCTTTTAGTCTAATTCAAAATGTACAAAATATCTTGAATACACGCCAACATACCTTTTAGCGGTTTCAGCTGCTGCACATTTTATTAATACCAAAATCCTTCATGCAATCCAATGCATTTTCAATGTAGTACATGCAAGTATTTCATTTTTTAAATGGCTTATCTCGTGTCCTATTAGAATAAACAAATAACAGCGTGCAGAAATGGCATGGCAAATAAAACATTTTCACTTCTTGAATTGGCGGGATAATCGTCTAATGTCCACCCGTCAATTACCATCAAAACCAATTCTGTTCGTTTAGAACTAGTCGCCTCTTACGAAGCATGCGCAGCCGCTTGATACCTCTCATGAAAGGTCTGTACTTGTTAAACCAATCCTCAAGAAGTGGATTCTGCTTCTCAAGTGTTGCCAATGTGACTATCTAACTGATCAGGGCGCCAATTATCAAATTCAAGTAACAAAGGGGAACTGCAATCAACTAATTTAAAGAGACACTATAACTTGGTTTGGTTAATCTGAGACAGTTTAAGCTTTAATCCAAGTAACAGCAAATCTCCATTACCACACTTCTTCGTAAAGAAACTTGCGTAATGACTGGCCATATCTGTCTTATATTGATTTTTTGTACTACCGATTCGCGCACGAAAGAGATCAAAGAGAAAGACAAAAACTGAATAACTTTTGTTTGCTTCATTGGTTTATCAGTCGCATTTTATTGATAATCATGATCTCGTTCATATACCAGGTACTAGGTTATGCTGCATCTTCTGGCAATCCAGATTCTGTGGTCTGTCGCGTTTTGCAAATGTTGCCTATAATAAAAAATCACCCTTGTTCTATTAAGTCCACTTTAAACTGAACGGCGTCCTTTCTGCGTCCCGGAGTACGACCCCGTTTGAGACTAATAAAAAATAATACTTGACGTGCCAACAACTGGCCGGTCAATGATGCTTGCATCTTTTTTTCTACGGCTACAGCGATGCCAGTTTCATGGTCCACAAAGGACGCAGAAAGGACGCCGTCCAGTGTTATAGGGGGCTTTAGGGATGTTCAATTGACGGTTAAAGGGATAATAACTCTTCGTATGAGATCTATATTTCACAATAAAAACATTGTGAATAACTCATAGAAATATAATATATTCTGTTATACCACAAAAACGGCAGTTATAGCTATTTTTCTGATATCTGAGCTTGTCTTTAGACCACGTGACCTCCATTGATGGCTATACTCTGTTAAAATCTCTTAAGAGATTTTAACAAAAAACCAAACTTTTTAGAAAAAAAACAGGGACTAACTTTGAATGTAAAAATGGATTCATTAACCATTGGTTAGTTTGGGAAAATTGTTGTTTACTCCAGGAAAATTCATTTTTTGGTCGAAACGAAGAGTTATTATCCCTTTAAGTTAAGTAGGCTGATATAATATTTGTACACATTTTTTTGTACAAGAGAAAATCGTTCATGGTGGGTGAGCTCACTTCATTCTGAATGCCTGTCTGTCTGCTAGTTGTTCAGCATGTGTGTGAGTCTGCCTGTCTGTCTGTTCGTCTGTTTGTCTGCCTGCCTTACTGTGTGACTGTGTGTGTGTGTGTGTGTATCTGCCTGTCATCCTGTCTGCTTGCTTGTGTGTCCGCCTGTTTATGTATCTGCATGCTTGCCTGTTGACCTGCATGCGTTGCTGGCTCTGTATCTGTCTGCTATACGGTCTGCCTGCCTGTCTGCCTATCTATGTGTCTGCCTGCCTGTCTGCCTATCTATGTGTCTGCCTGCCTGTCTGCGTGTCTGCCTATGAGCGTCTGTGTGTATGCATGCCTGTTTGCTTGCGGTCCGTCTGCCTGTGGGTCTGCCTAAGGGTATGTCTGCCTGTGGGTCTGCCCACAGGTCTGTCTGCCTGTGGGTCTGCCTACGGGTCTGTCTGCTTCTCTGCCTGTTCATGTATTTCATCTTTGCTTATTTGTTTTACTACCTGTTCACCTTGCTTTCATTTTTTAAACCGACTTTCCTTTCTACTCCCACGTTAGACGTTTTAATTTCAACTTCCGGGGTATTTTTATGCTCGCGTCATATACCGTATAGGCCTTCATATTAATTGATTATAGAAGCTTAAACCTAAGAACACGCCCCAGCAAATTAACAACGCAGGGATCATCCCGAGGCTACCTCAGCTGTATTTAAATGGCGATCAGCGTTCGATTCTTTCACTTAAACTTAAGCCAGCATAGCCGACTCTAGACGCTGGAGAAGTAGTGCCGCCCAGCCCAGCTAACTCAGAGTACAAGTAAGTATGCTGGGGTGAAAGTGTTGGACTGGGGTGTCTGTATGTCTGTTTTTCTCTCTCTCTCTCGAGTGTGAGATAAAGAAAAGGAGAATGTGAATAAGCGGGCTTCATGAAACTTCTAACGTAGTTAACTGTGGCAAAAAAGTATTTTTTTCCTTCGAGTGACTTTTTGTCTAAAGGAACGTTCGGTAGACTATTTTTGTAACTAAATGTATGTGCATAACTATGCTGAAAAAGAAATTATTGTTAGTATTAATCATCAATAAGATACAAATATATATCTTTAGTATTCTGAAAATGTTGATTACTTTATATACAAGCTGTTGAGGTTGCTAAGAGTGGAAGAAAGCCGATAAAAAAGTGCCAAGACGAAAGTGTAATTAACAAAACTAAATCAAATCATAGATGAAAGAGCTTATTTTATTGCGTGTGTGATGCCCATAATTAGTATTGAACACAGTAGGACTTGCAAACGTGTCATGTTGTAAGAATCTTTCATGAACCGTAGCGAAGGTTAAGTCGTATATCAGTTCTTTGGCAGGAGTGTGCAATGTTATTCGTTTCATTTTTTATCAAATCCTCAAGGAACATTTGGAATTGTTCTTAAAAGCCTCAATGTTCAGCATTCTACGTGCCAAAAAATTAATTCGATATCGACAGTGAATTGTGAGGTAATAGGTCTGTCAAGGGGGTTCATTCCTTTACGTACTTTTACATAATGGTTTTCTGGTGAACCCCGGGAACGAATTCACTTTAGCTTAATTGCCTTTGCTAATTTTCGATTGTTTAATGATATTGACTCAATTTTTGAGTCACAAGTTATACAAGGACATTCTACATTCTAAATATTCCAGAGTTCTGCTCCATTTTCCGTCAATCCTACACGCTGTATTTTTATTGCGTAGCGGCATGCTCTCTCCATTGCTTTATGTGATGACATAAAAATAGGATCCCTCTTATGTTAGCTCATCATAAATGAGATATTTTAAGAAAGGAATAGGACCTAAAATGAATTAATTCTGTGTAGAAACAATCCCATTTGTCGGCGATTTGACAAGGTACATTGAGCGTCTGGCAAAGAACTTAATCTAATTTCATCAGCAAATGTTTACTTTACCTCGATGCTGTTTGTCGATCAGTACACGTGGAAAAAAAGAATTACAAAGAGGTATAGATATAGTTTTTTATTGAGTGTTCGGGCGATTTTGTTTGTCTATCAGATGAATATTCAGACGACGTGTTCATTTCTGCTGACATCGAATATACAGGGCTACGTGTAGTCTCGGTTTTTGTGTTATAGACTGCATGTCATATAAACTAAAACATGTACAGAATCACGTTAATGCTTACAGTTCATTTACTGTTTGAAAAGATAACCAAAGAGAAGTTCTGGTAATGTTACGATACAAATTATGCACCAAATTCTGACAAAATATCCATTGTCTAGGCCAAGAAAATGAGGTATATTATGATATTAATAATTACCTAAAAATAAGCCTGCTCAAACACTAAAAACCAAGACCAAAAGAGTGCATTTCTTTATTTAATAATAATATCAGTCAGCAAGATTGCCCAACACCAGGAAGTTCGTGAGTAGGGTGCCTTTTTTGTAGCTTTTGTCACAAAAGATTGCAAGAGTATTATTAAACAACTTCTTGAATTGCCAGTACCATTCACAAGTCGAATCACATAGGGTGCTTGATATTTGTATTTTAAAAATCAAACCTTACGGGCAAAGTAAACCAAAATTGGGAGCATTGTCAGTATCTGAGACGAGATGGCTCTATTCTGAAAGCCTTCCAACGGTTCACTGACGTATATAATGGCATTACTTCCGTCCTTGCTGTCTGCTACTTAGTTATATACCGACATTTTGCTCAATTCGTACCAATCAGTGTAACTTAATGGGCTTAAGCGAATTGCAATATCTATTTGAATGGTAGGTCGACGACAGCACTAACCCAATCGTAGATGTTGGCAGTTTGAGCTGAGTGTTTGTCTGATGATGACTTTGGTGAACCAAGGTGACGACCCTTTTGACAACCTCATGTCACCTCCATAATACAAACAGAACATGGAAAGTCGGGAACAAATGTCATATTGAAAGGGTAGTGTAGGAGAATAGCTTTGTCAGCCACTTTTTCTTGTAATGGCGTTTGATGAAACTGTGTGTGTGTGTGTGTGGGGGGGAGGGGGGGGAGGGGGGTATATGGATGTATAGATTTATTCCTCCATTTCTGCAAATTATTTTGTCTTTTCATTTCCTGTATTTCAATCTATCTTACCCAGCAAGCAACCCTAAGAAAGGAAAAAAGAAAGATTTCAGATCTCCAAGTTTATAAGTAGAGGTAATTAAATAATGCAGATAATCTAAAATGTGCCCCAAAATGGTCATTTTAAAAATAAAAATTAATAAAATGGCTTTCCAATGTATTGTTTCCATTGGCAATTGCTGTTTGTCCTTTATTATTTCTGTTCTATATAATTAGTTGGCCAATTAAGTCAATTACCTTCGGATTAAAAGATTAAGACGCCTCCTCTTTTTAGCATCGTACGTATATATAATCACTAGTTTTTCCATATTTAACTCAACGACAAGAGGCGTATTAATCTCTTAATCTGATTACATTCAGCGAGAGTTCCCGCGGATTTGGATCGTTCTAGTTTCATTTGGTATGAGTCTTTAACTTCCAACCGGAATTCCATCACATTAAAGACAGTTGTTAGTTGGTGCTCTCTTCATATAGGGTCCTTGTTTCAAGAGCAAGTGCTCAATTAATCTACACTAGGGTAAAGAAGGGGCCTCTTCCGGTCATTTACTATGATACTGAGGCAATTGCAAAGATATAACAGCTGTTTTGCGTGGGGAAAGTGGTTCTGCATTTTTCTTGACGCAGGCACGGACATTAAAACCTTCATGTCTCCTCCATCCCAGTGTACCACAAACTGTCATAGTCCCATTTATAACAAGAAAGAAGTAAACAAAGACTGTCAATTGTTCGTGATTTGGCCAAACAAGGCCGCTTTTCAAATTGTTGACTGTATCAAATGTTATTGCCTAAACTTTTTTGTTAGGGTATTATCCATTCGTTTGACAAAAGGCATGATAAGCTTTTATTGCATACCATTTTGAGCGGGTTACATTTTACTAATCAAGGATACGTGACAGATGGAGGCGTTCTGTATAATTCCCGGTCATTACTGAGCTCACAAGTCGTGTTTAAAACAACTTTAAAACCGCTCACTGGCAAAAATGTTCATTAGTTTGGTAGTCGGATTATGGATAATAATTATGGAGCACAAGCTGAACAACCCACGTTAGTCTGTTGAAGGTCTACACTGTACGACTAGGTTGGCCTCAAGCTCACGGCAAGTGAAATATTTTCAGCTTGTGCGCCAAATAATTGTCATTTATGAACGTCAAAACCGTATATACGAAAGATTTACGTAATATCCGACACCTATTATATGCTCTGTAAACTGGATATACTTCATAGGCAGAAGTGTAAATAGCATTACAACCACATCCTACAAAAAAGTCCGTCGTGTTTTTTTTTCGAAATTTACTTCGCAAAAATAAAATCAGAAAATAATGTTTATTAACATGCATCCCTAATGTGATAAATATTTGTCTATGAGCATGGAATTTGTTCTTGCCTTACATGAGTGCGGACGCATTAACTAGTAATGATTTCGTCTTTTTAGATTAGAAATCTTTTTGTTATGCTAATCTGGTAAGGTAGATAACTAAGCGAGGGGTTTAACTGTTCTCAGGCAGGAGGAAAGATGTTCGTTTTGGAGTCCTGTCCCTGCCACTCCAATGTTCGTCAGACATTGCTTTGTCTGTCTGTTTTGCAGGTTTGAAAATTTGGCACCTTGCTGCCTTTGAAAAGTTTAGTCGTAGTTATAAATATTTTAGTCATGTTTATCTGCTATCGTGTCCCGTTTCCTCGTGACTACGATAGCCGCAAAATATTGGCTAAGCTCACAAATCTTTATCGTTCTGTGTTTTTTACACTAAACCAACGTATTCCTATTTATACAGTCAGGTTAGAGGATCTATTTTGGGCGCTTTGGTCGCAGGGAATCGCCTGGGGATGCAAGATGGTGTCCAAATGACCTCGATGGTCTGCCTAACGACCTCTCCTGGTCTGAATCGCTCTGCACTTATTGCCTAGAAATTTCTTGGTGTATGGAACTGTATGTTTTGCCTCCTTAAATTTCATTTTCCTACGCCCTTGGCTGCAGCAGCCAGAAAATGTGAATTAATGAAAATTGCATTTTACCCTGAAAAGACTAGAAAATTACTTTATTGAGTGACGTTTGGTTGCATTTAGTTGCGAGCAACATTTGCCAAAAAGAAATAAATATGAAAAGGCTATGTCCTAGACAAAACTTTTGCCTTCTCAAAAGATAAATGATTTGTAAAATTCCTTAGAGACTGCGTAGGAGCTGCATTAATACACTAATACTTAACCTTTTATGCCGTCTTCTATGATGGAAAGACACTCACTGAAAAATTGGGTTTCCGACAAGGTTCATACAGTGGCTTCCAGTGGTATTTTGTCTTCGTAAGTAAATTAGATGCCAGTCGTCAGTAGATTAAGCTTGCTGAAATTGCCTGTTAAAGATAGCGTCTTTCTCATTGCTTGACGAACTGCGTTGTTTTCTATGAGAGGGGGTTTAGGAGGATCGAAAGGAGTGCGTTCTGACAGTGTGACGTTTTCCAGCAAAGTCATATACCGGACCTCTATATCCAGTGTGTAATCGGAATAGCATAGGCAAAATCTTAATGAAAGTTTAAGAGTACCGTGTATGAACTTGTAGATATACATGAATGTGTCACCGGAAATGGAGCTGCTTGAAAAATGTCATGATAGAGTGAATAAAGGGATAATAAGTCCCATGACACTCAAAATTCCACAATAAAACTATTTTAAACAACACATAGAAATTAAATAAATTCCATTTCACCATCGTGGACTACAAAGATGGCTACC